TAAATGGAACTTTGACAACAAATTTCAGGGAACAAGGAATAGCTCTACTATTAAATGGAACTTTGACAACAAATTTCAGGGAACAAGGAATAGCTCTACTATTAAATGGAACTTTGACAACAAATTTCAGGGAACAAGGAATAGCTCTACTATTAAATGGAACTTTGACAACAAATTTCAGGGAACAAGGAATAGCTCTACTATTAAATGGAACTTTGACAACAAATTTCAGGGAACAAGGAATAGCTCTACTATTAAATGGAACTTTGACAACAAATTTCAGGGAACAAGGAATAGCTCTACTATTAAATGGAACTTTGACAACAAATTTCAGGGAACAAGGAATAGCTCTACTATTAAATGGAACTTTGACAACAAATTTCAGGGAACAAGGAATAGCTCTACTATTAAATGGAACTTTGACAACAAATTTCAGGGAACAAGGAATAGCTCTACTATTAAATGGAACTTTGACAACAAATTTCAGGGAACAAGGAATAGCTCTACTATTAAATGGAACTTTGACAACAAATTTCAGGGAACAAGGAATAGCTCTACTATTAAATGGAACTTTGACAACAAATTTCAGGGAACAAGGAATAGCTCTACTATTAAATGGAACTTTGACAACAAATTTCAGGGAACAAGGAATAGCTCTACTATTAAATGGAACTTTGACAACAAATTTCAGGGAACAAGGAATAGCTCTACTATTAAATGGAACTTTGACAACAAATTTCAGGGAACAAGGAATAGCTCTACTATTAAATGGAACTTTGACAACAAATTTCAGGGAACAAGGAATAGCTCTACTATTAAATGGAACTTTGACAACAAATTTCAGGGAACAAGGAATAGCTCTACTATTAAATGGAACTTTGACAACAAATTTCAGGGAACAAGGAATAGCTCTACTATTAAATGGAACTTTGACAACAAATTTCAGGGAACAAGGAATAGCTCTACTATTAAATGGAACTTTGACAACAAATTTCAGGGAACAAGGAATAGCTCTACTATTAAATGGAACTTTGACAACAAATTTCAGGGAACAAGGAATAGCTCTACTATTAAATGGAACTTTGACAACAAATTTCAGGGAACAAGGAATAGCTCTACTATTAAATGGAACTTTGACAACAAATTTCAGGGAACAAGGAATAGCTCTACTATTAAATGGAACTTTGACAACAAATTTCAGGGAACAAGGAATAGCTCTACTATTAAATGGAACTTTGACAACAAATTTCAGGGAACAAGGAATAGCTCTACTATTAAATGGAACTTTGACAACAAATTTCAGGGAACAAGGAATAGCTCTACTATTAAATGGAACTTTGACAACAAATTTCAGGGAACAAGGAATAGCTCTACTATTAAATGGAACTTTGACAACAAATTTCAGGGAACAAGGAATAGCTCTACTATTAAATGGAACTTTGACAACAAATTTCAGGGAACAAGGAATAGCTCTACTATTAAATGGAACTTTGACAACAAATTTCAGGGAACAAGGAATAGCTCTACTATTAAATGGAACTTTGACAACAAATTTCAGGGAACAAGGAATAGCTCTACTATTAAATGGAACTTTGACAACAAATTTCAGGGAACAAGGAATAGCTCTACTATTAAATGGAACTTTGACAACAAATTTCAGGGAACAAGGAATAGCTCTACTATTAAATGGAACTTTGACAACAAATTTCAGGGAACAAGGAATAGCTCTACTATTAAATGGAACTTTGACAACAAATTTCAGGGAACAAGGAATAGCTCTACTATTAAATGGAACTTTGACAACAAATTTCAGGGAACAAGGAATAGCTCTACTATTAAATGGAACTTTGACAACAAATTTCAGGGAACAAGGAATAGCTCTACTATTAAATGGAACTTTGACAACAAATTTCAGGGAACAAGGAATAGCTCTACTATTAAATGGAACTTTGACAACAAATTTCAGGGAACAAGGAATAGCTCTACTATTAAATGGAACTTTGACAACAAATTTCAGGGAACAAGGAATAGCTCTACTATTAAATGGAACTTTGACAACAAATTTCAGGGAACAAGGAATAGCTCTACTATTAAATGGAACTTTGACAACAAATTTCAGGGAACAAGGAATAGCTCTACTATTAAATGGAACTTTGACAACAAATTTCAGGGAACAAGGAATAGCTCTACTATTAAATGGAACTTTGACAACAAATTTCAGGGAACAAGGAATAGCTCTACTATTAAATGGAACTTTGACAACAAATTTCAGGGAACAAGGAATAGCTCTACTATTAAATGGAACTTTGACAACAAATTTCAGGGAACAAGGAATAGCTCTACTATTAAATGGAACTTTGACAACAAATTTCAGGGAACAAGGAATAGCTCTACTATTAAATGGAACTTTGACAACAAATTTCAGGGAACAAGGAATAGCTCTACTATTAAATGGAACTTTGACAACAAATTTCAGGGAACAAGGAATAGCTCTACTATTAAATGGAACTTTGACAACAAATTTCAGGGAACAAGGAATAGCTCTACTATTAAATGGAACTTTGACAACAAATTTCAGGGAACAAGGAATAGCTCTACTATTAAATGGAACTTTGACAACAAATTTCAGGGAACAAGGAATAGCTCTACTATTAAATGGAACTTTGACAACAAATTTCAGGGAACAAGGAATAGCTCTACTATTAAATGGAACTTTGACAACAAATTTCAGGGAACAAGGAATAGCTCTACTATTAAATGGAACTTTGACAACAAATTTCAGGGAACAAGGAATAGCTCTACTATTAAATGGAACTTTGACAACAAATTTCAGGGAACAAGGAATAGCTCTACTATTAAATGGAACTTTGACAACAAATTTCAGGGAACAAGGAATAGCTCTACTATTAAATGGAACTTTGACAACAAATTTCAGGGAACAAGGAATAGCTCTACTATTAAATGGAACTTTGACAACAAATTTCAGGGAACAAGGAATAGCTCTACTATTAAATGGAACTTTGACAACAAATTTCAGGGAACAAGGAATAGCTCTACTATTAAATGGAACTTTGACAACAAATTTCAGGGAACAAGGAATAGCTCTACTATTAAATGGAACTTTGACAACAAATTTCAGGGAACAAGGAATAGCTCTACTATTAAATGGAACTTTGACAACAAATTTCAGGGAACAAGGAATAGCTCTACTATTATAATATTAAATGGAACTTTGACAACAAATTTCAGGGAACAAGGAATAGCTCTACTATTAAATGGAACTTTGACAACAAATTTCAGGGAACAAGGAATAGCTCTACTATTAAATGGAACTTTGACAACAAATTTCAGGGAACAAGGAATAGCTCTACTATTAAATGGAACTTTTGACAACAAATTTCAGAGAACAATCAAATTTATTAATAGGGAACAAGGGAGAGACAGTGAAATTTTGAAGGGATCAAGGGCCCCTGGGAGGCCCTCTGATTTACTTGAATATACAATCATGTACATCATGTATATAAGTGACACAACACCTCCAGTCACAATCAGTCTTCAGAAGTTTCAAACCATAATAAATACTGCGCTTGAGTGTGATACACATCAATTTGGAAATCAGAATTTGTACATAAAGAGTTACATGTATCTTGAAAGTTGCATTACAAAATGACTGAGGCATAGGTGATACTTTGAGAAAAGTAAATTTTTCACGTTTTTAAAAGTTGTTTTTTATTTATTAATAACGTAAAAATTTTAATCAAAACCACTGTCAAACCATTTAATAAGTTATAATTCTATATTTATTTCTTTTTTACTTTTCCAGTGCCTTGATCGAATACTTTAAAGATGTGTTCCAAATATATAATGTGTAGTTCCAGAAAACATCTATACCTGCCCCATGGAAGGGATTTTCTCTGACACCTCCTCACCCCTCTGGAAATTCCAGTTAAGCTTCATACATTTCTTTAAATTTTTGGTCTCATAGAACTCCCAACCCCCCAGGAAATTCCAATTCCTTCTATGGGGGGAGTATGGATATTTTCTGGAACTGCACAATGATAAATAATACATACCAAAAAGCTGGAGAGAGTGAATATTTTTGAAATTTTTGAAGGTTTAAAGGCATTTGAAATAATTAAGAAATAAAGCAGACTGTTTGGGACATGGAGCCCAAATATTAACATAAACACTACATTAAAATGTGAAAAAACATTTCCATCTTGATTTCAGTACTTTAAGGCACAAAGTGACGTCAAGCAGGAATGCAACCAAAATTTGAAAAGGGGAAATTAACAAATTAAAGGCTTGACTAAGAGTTTTGTAATTCCACATCGGAGTAATAAAATTGTAATTATATATTGGACAAATAATTGAGAAGCTGTAGTATATTACAGACTGCTTACTGAAAAGTGTAAACACACTGGTTGAACTGGACATCCTGGAATGAATGCTCCTAATAACAAAAAAAATTCACATTTAATTAATATAAAAAACTGTCTAATTTAGGCATCAGTGTAGCAGAGTTAATTACAGTGGGGAAACACCAAAAGAGTAAATAAATGTACAGATTGTAACCACACTGTTTCTCTTTTCTTCCATGGTCAAGTCGATGGTACCACATCCAAAGATTTCTGATGATGTTCTGAAGATTTCTGAACTAGATGTCAGCGTCCCATTTAAAATTTCTAGTCTCTCTAGCATTAGGATGTGTTTTGCCAACAAAAAATCTTTGCTAGAAAAAAATATTACCTTTAAAACTAGAAAATTGAAGGAAGTAGCATCATTAAAATGGTAGAGTTACCCCCCCCCCTGTCCTCCACCACTGGAGCCGGGGGGGGGATTTTCTTTCTAATTTCATTGCTTCTCATACTTTAATTTTAGTTCACAGTCTTGAAAGTGTGTCAGACAAAGACTGCCAAAAAGGTCAAATTTTCAGCTACATGTAGATGTGAGGAATAAGTCTGTAGGCATGAGATCAAAGTTTTCAAACTGCAGGCATCAGACTTAGGCATGAGAGTTGACAGGTAAATATACTTAATCTCATTGTTTATTCAATTTATTGTACATTTCATTGTACAGTAAGAAGTATAGATCGTTTTCACGTGACGTCATCAAATTCCAAAATCCAAAACTAAAGAGCCACGAAAATTGTTATCAAAGTAAGTTCCAGATGTTTGCACTATTTTTCACCGCCATGTTGGTGAAGCACAGAGCTCCACCAACATGGCGGCTTCATACTGGGCTCTGTAAATTTGCGCAAAACATTTCAACGAATATCTGCAGTTTGAGAAAACGCAGACCCAAAACTTGGAGAAGTGTCTCCTTTACCCATCTCCTATAATATTAAAATTTCTTGACTTTATGCACTGAATAGCTTTCTATTTATTTTTTCATTGCATGACAGTGAAAACCATCTATAGATACACAAACCTGGTTTAAATGATATCAAGCTTTTTCTGTTTGTACAAGTACCTGCAAAAAATTACACATTGTTAATTACGTGTATGTTGTACTCATCACAAGTTAGTCTTGTTTCAGTAATAATTTAACTGTAGACAAAACAGTGGAAATAAAATACAAAATACCAAATGGAAAAGCACTGTGCACCTTCGGGGAAAATGCACATATGTGGCCATTGTCCTCTTGCTGTGGTTGTTCTGTACTGAAGTTCCTTGACAGCTGATCGTCTTGATTTTGTGTCATCTCTAGAAACACCAATGCATTCAAGACATTGAAAAAAACCTGCAAGGCAATTGCGACAAATCTTAGCCTTCAATGTATTCTGCATTTCTTTAACTCGTGGGATTAAATATAAGACTTCAAATTAATTAACTAATAAAGGGGAGGTTAAAACACTGTCAAATAATTAAAACATTAAGTATTTCTCACACTCGACAGATATTTACATGCAATAACTACAAATGTAAGTATATTTAAAATTTCGTAGTAAGTAGATGATATAAAAATTCAGAGGGAATGTCAATCACTTTTCCTTGTCATTCTCTCATCTTCTCTTTTGCACTCCTCTACGTTTTTTTCTTTTTCATCACAAATTGGAGTCACTTAACTTAGGAGTCATAAAAATCCAAGCATGTTCTAACTAATTAACTAAGTGGAAAGGAACAGCTTTCATCAACACTGTTTTTATTCATCCACCCGTAAACATTTAATGAAAAAATAAAAATTCAGTTATAACAAAATGCAAACAAAATTATTGTTACAAAATTATGGTGCTGGTTGGCTACATTATTTGGACTGGAAAACAACAACAAATTTTATAACATATCACATAGCAATAAATATTCATCTCTTTATTTATTGTTCATTTTTAGATATTTCATATGTCAGTGTTTTATAATTTTTATTACTACTAAACAATTCCAGCTTTAGCTCTATTTCCCAGTTGTACAACAACAAAAATGATGATAATGACAAATTTGTATCAAGTATTACGCAGAAAGTATATCCTCTTCGTTCAATTAATGTAATTAGCTATATACTCACCCCCCAGAAAAGGGCTCTTTAGATTTTCCATTTTTGAAATGCCAGATGGTGCAGATCCATATTCACTTAACAACAAGATATCAAGGAAAGATGAATGAGGGGCAATAACTGCCACAGGAGCTTCAGACGGTGACGCTAATTTACCCTTTATCCTTACTTTGTGAAAACCCAGGGCAAACAGCATTGAGCGAACAATAAAAGGAAGACAGTCTTTCATCCACCTGGAGAAGAGTAAATGACATTCAGCATGCAAAGAAGTCTACTACTGTGAGTAGTCTCTCTGCAGTCTCTCTACAAGAGACCAACATAAAAACTGATTGAGCAGGACGCCACTAAATGAGTCACAGGTAGTCATCATTCCTACTTGCAGCTAAGAGCTTCGCTGCTTGCCTCTGATCATTCACTCAGTGTTTTGCATTCTTCCCCAAAACTTTTCAAGCAAAATAGACACTTAACTAGCAGTCTAAAGGCTAGTGGAGTTTGTGGTTGGGCTTAATGCATTCTATCCTTATCTTGCCCAATAGACAAGGCAGTTGATTTTTTTGGTGTAAACTTTAAGAAAATTCAAAACAACAGAAAAATTGCTTGAATTTTCAATTTCAATTAACTACTGTAGTATTGCTGGTGAGAAAATTTTTTGGGCTAGTGAAAAAGACTGTTGACTTAGTATATTCTAGTTACAGCTTACCCAAAAGGCAAGCTCAAAAACTCATGATTTTCTTGGCATCCTGGACATTGACGTCAAAACAATTTTACAGGACATCAAATTTGCCTAGAGCTATTTATAATCCATCAAATACTTTTGCTTGCATACAATTGGTCAAAGTGTGTCACATGCATATGACAAGATCATGCCCTAGCTAAAACAGAGGAACATCTGAGTGATATTCCCCAATTTTCATTTTGCACAAAATATTTGATGGATAGTAAACACAATAGCATGCGCTAATTTGACTTTAAAAATATGCTCGTAAATTTGTCCTTGTACATTGACCT